CTCAGTAGGTCTAAAAACTTTTTCATACCTTTCAAGTGTTTAGCCATTAATCGGAACGGTAAACAGCTGTCTAGGCGGAGATTTTTAGAACAATTATTTGGGTAAACATTTCAAACAGAAGAAAGTAACAGATAAACAGTTGTCAGTTGATCATCTCTTCACCCCATCAATTTCTCTTTCAACCATTCATCTCACAAATCACAAATCACAAATAATGCTATCGACACTCCAAGCACCGCGCTCGCTCTCCCACTTCCGCACAAACCCCACCCTCCTCCTCCGCTGCACCTCCCTTAAACCCCTTTCTTCCTTATCCTCACAGCCCGTCACCCACTCCACCATCACAGACCAATCCCCGTCCCCAAACGCACTCCCCCACTCCCAAATCCTCTCCACCCGCCACTCCCTCCTCTCTCGCCACCTCACTGCCACCCAGCTCGCCGACTCCTTCCTCGCCCGCCTCCGCCTCACCGAGCCCCACCTCCGCTCCTTCCTCCACGTCTCCGACTCCGTCCTCGCCCAAGCCCGCGAGCTCGACGAGAAGATTCAGAGGAATGAGGAGTTGGGTCCCTTGGCTGGGGTCCTTGTTGCCGTCAAGGACAATATCTGCACGGCTGAGATGCCCTCCACGGCTGGGTCTCGTGTTCTGGAGGGCTACACGCCGCCGTATGACGCCACTGCCGTCAGGAAGATAAAAGAACTGGGTGGGATTGTGGTGGGGAAAACCAATTTGGATGAGTTTGGCATGGGTAGCACCACTGAAGGCTCAGCGTTTCAGGTTTTTCTCTCGGGGTTCCTTTTGATCAATCTACTATGTGGGTTCTGTGCATTTTTCATTGTTGTCATTAAATTTCGTGGGAATTCATAAAAAGTTTGTACCTTTTGATGCGAGTGAAATTTTAGTTGGATATTAAGGAAGTTAAATGTTGTGTTTAATGGAATTTTTAGAATGTGAGTTACCTTTTGATTGTGGATAGTGAAGCAGCTTGGTTGTTGGTATTAATAAGAGTCAAGGGGAGTGAGGTTGTGGAAATTCGTTTCTTTATGTTTCGCACTCGTAACTGGGGTTGGTTTACTCAGGTGGTGCATCTGTTCATTCATTAGGTGACTGCAAACCCGTGGGACGTGTCTCGGGTGCCAGGAGGGTCATCGGGAGGCTCAGCAGCAGCTGTGTCTGCTAGGCAGTGTATGGTGTCATTGGGGAGTGATACTGGTGGAAGTGTGAGGCAGCCAGCTTCGTTTTGTGGTGTTGTTGGATTGAAGCCTACATATGGGCGTGTCTCAAGATTTGGACTTATGGCGTATGCATCGTCGCTTGATGTCATCGGCTGCTTTGGTTCGTCTGTGGCTGATGCTGGGATTCTTCTCCATGCAATTTCTGGCCATGATAGACTTGATGCAACTAGCAGCAAGCGTGTAAGAAAATTTTCTACATCTTGATTTTATAAGTCATGTAATCTTGTCATAGTGTATGCTGAATGCGGACTCTGAAAATTTTTGGTCTTTTTATGTGAAGACTAAAGAGCAAGGACTAGTATCACATATTGTTTGCTAGACACATGCATTTAAATTTCTCCTTTCAGGAGGTTCCCAACCTTGAAGCTGAACATGTTTCCATAAGTTCGCTAGATTCTAAACCTCTTAAAGGATTGAGGATTGGGCTGATCCGGGAAACTCTGGATGATGGTGTTGATACTGGAGTAACTTCTGCAGTTCGTAATGCTGCTTTGCATCTTGAAGAATTAGGATGCTCCGTAACCGAGGTCTACCTTCTATCAATATTTTTTCCTTTAATTGCTCGTATCTGTTCCTTCCCTCAATATGTCATGTGTACCCCGTCTTAGGACTTGATTCATATATTCTTGAAACATTAACTTGCAGGTTTCATTACCTTCTTTCTCACTTGGGTTGCCAGCCTATTACATTCTTGCTTCATCTGAGTCGTCTTCAAACTTATCACGTTATGATGGTGTCAGGTAATTAACCCAGAAGTTTTTTCTGATATATAAATAAGTTTTTTCATTTGTATATTTAAATGGGAGAAGAGAAATGATTGGGGTAAAGCTTGTTTAGATCCACTATGAATAAAGATAACAAATTATTAAATGCATTCTTAAAACTCTCTCCAGATGGTATATCAGAATGACGGATATGCTCACATTCATTATTATTTGTTTTTCATCCATATCCAGGTATGGAAACCAAGTTCCTGCTGATGAGTTGAACTCACAATATAAAGATTCCCGAGCCAAGGGTTTTGGTTCTGAGGTACACTATGTATAGGTGGCTGGTTGAAACTTACAACTTTTATGAAGTTTCTATTAGTTGGAACTGCAGTACTCTTGGTCTAGTTTTTAATTTTTGTTTTACAGACTTATAACAGTTAGCGACTTCATTTAAATCTTTTCCTTTTTCTTGCAGGTCAAAAGGAGAATTCTAACGGGAACGTATGCCCTTTCAGCTGGTTATTATGATGCATATTATAATCGCGCCCAGCAGGTACCATGATGTTGGTGTTAATTTAAAAGATGGACTTTTGGTGGCAGGAGTTTATCCTATTTGTTGTGAATATTGCGTTTAAAAATGGGAAAAACGAACAAAACTCGGAAACCAAAAACAAAATAATCAAGATAAATAACACCAAGAATTTACGTGGTTCGGCTATGTGCCTAAATCCACGGGACAGCAACAACAAACTTTCACAATATCAATAATGAGTACAACAAATAATCTTGCCAAACCTCTTGGATTAGGACTTGACGAAAAACCTTAAAGAACAAGAACAAGAAATACAATCTTATTTCTTTTCTTTTCTCTCGCGCATACTTTTGCCCTTACAATATTCTCTCACTCTAACTCCTTGAGTAGTATACAACTTATTGTTTTGCTCCACTTCAAAACTAGTGCAATAGCCCCTTTATATAGACATAATTCTTCAATAAAAAATACTAATCCTAATTGGAATCTAGTTATGGATCCTTCTTCAATTGAGAATTCTAACGGGAAAACCACTCCAATTGGGAAAACAATTAATTCTCTAAGAATATAATTCCAAATAGACTTAGGACAACTCATCATGGGGTGGCAAAATCCAACACTATTATCTATATTTTGGTTACTTCACTATGTTATGTTCTGAGATGCTTAATCCTATGAATTTAGGGTGTTCAAGATGGCCTTAATGATTCTTTTAGTGTTTTAGGTGAGGACTATAATTCGAAAAAGCTTCAAGGTAGCACTAGATGAACATGACATCCTAATTTCACCTGCGGCTCCATCTGCTGCTTATAAGATTGGTATGCCGGTTTCCACGGATGTATACTTTTCATATGTTTTATGGTATGTCAGTAAGTCACCCATTTACTTGTATTTTTTCAGGTGAAAAGAAAAATGATCCATTAGCAATGTATGCAGGTGACATAATGACTGTAAGAACTTTCTCACTTTCTCTGAGTGCCCAAAATTTTTAATTTCTGCTCATTATATGCATGCATGGGGTGTATGTTACGTGTGTACTAGGAGTTCTATGATAATTGAGTAATGATGTTGGATACGCATTCATCATTGTAATCTTAGATACTTGCCCACGTACCATGTTGTAATCTGTGAGTAAATTGCTCAGATTTTGTTTCAGAAAAGAAAAAATGTTGTTCTATTATTAGGGTGTGGCGGAGGATAAGGCCTTCATTTCTATAGTTAATCCTCGCATTTTTGGCACATGCACTTCAACCTGTCCTACATTTCCATTTTGTGCTCTCAATTTTGTTGTCTTTAAAAAGAGTAGATGGTGAAATGTGGTCACCCTTGTTTCTAGAGGTTGTAGTGAGAAGTTTAAAGTGGTTTGAGATCTCATTTTGGGGGCATTTGGTGGCACAAGCTGTTGGTTCTTGTTTCTTAAGCTCTACGTTGCACACGTGCTTGTCCTACTTTAAAACTTTTATCGTCTGTCATGTAGTTTCCACTCATAAGATGACTAAATGACCTCTAACCTGTTCTGCTTGATTCTGTATGCAGGTCAATGTTAACTTGGCAGGTCTACCTGCACTGGTTTTGCCATGTGGATTTGTTGAAGGGGGGTCTGCAGGCCTTCCTGTTGGTCTTCAAATGATCGGTGCAGCATTTGACGAGGTATTGCCTTTCTACCTACCTACTACATTGTGACACGTTGATTTCTATCAGGAATTAGTACTTGACACTGAACACTGAATGGAGAGTCGCTGAATTATGAAAACTATATGACTTTAGAGTTGAGTATCTGATTGCTGATACAAGATTTTTCCGGTGTCGATTTTGCAGGGAAAGTTGCTGAAGGTGGGTCATATATTTGAGCAGACTCTGCAGAATTGCAATTTTGTTCCTCCATTGATAGCAGATGAGGTCACATCCTAGCTAATCCCGGGATCGATGTCGATCTGCTCAACTGAAAGTGGTTTTTGAAACATGTAATCGATTATTTAGAATTGATCAGAGCGTGACTTGTAACAAGGTTGCAACTTTTGCAATGCCAACATGGGGGCTGGCTGATTGAATTAACACACATATTTGATCGAATTAACTTGATAAATATCCCGTTATTCTGTCAAAAAAGTATTGTGTATGTTAGCGTGTAAACTCCGTTCTCGAATGCTTTCCCTAACCTCAAATGTTCTAGGTTAGTCGATCACATGATTCTCCTACAACACATGTACTTTCGATTTTATTTAATACAACGATGGTAAGGGGCGGGGAGATTTCTGCCAAATAATGCCATGGCCCGGCCGTAATTGCTATTGAATTCATTATCTAAGTGAGTTCAGTTTGAAGCCGTCCATTTATAAGCGAACGAAGAATGCAACTAGACTGTAATATTATTTAGTAAACAAATGTTACGTAATAAAATGAGGATTTGGTGAGTTCCAACTCCGGGACAAAATTGTGGAGCCCTGCCAGCTAAACTTGGCACGGGCCGTGCACGTTAGCACAAGTTACGCTTTATTACAAAGGATCACCAAAAGGGAAAGCGGATCTCTTCCTACATATAACGAACGCAGAAACGCAAGCCCGGTGCATATTAGCACACACAAAAATAAATTTAATTTAATAAATATGTTTTTATTCAATTAAAATTAATCCTGTAATTCGCCTCCGTCTAACGACCTCCTTCCGTCTCCGATCACTCGGTGAGTCCCTCTCAAACCAATTTATTTCTCATTTTCTTCTTCTGTTTTGGAAATATTGGGTATGTTCGGATTGATCTATGGATTTTAGTTGATGATTTTATTTTATTTATTTTTTTTTTTTTTTGCCAAATCGTTGATGAATTTGAGTTAGTTGGTTTATTTTTTTAATTTATTTTCCAATTTGAATTAAATTAATAGCTAAAGGTTTGATCTTGGACTGATTCTGTTTTGTTTCTGTAATTCATTGGATAATTTTTTATTTATTTTTATTATGGATTGTTGAGAAACCTGAGAGGGATTTATGGATTCAGCTGAATCCAATTAGTCGTCAAAGTTGTATGAGTTAAACGTTGATCATCAGGGATGATGATGATAAAGTTCTAAAGTATTGAATTTGTATATTTGATGATGGTAAATGATAGAGTCGGCCATAAGAAAATATGGGTTTAACTTATAATTTCCAGGATTTTGAGCAAGGTGCTCGAAATCCTGGAAATTCAGTTTAGTTGAGTTCTATTTGTTTAATGCAGAATACTAACTACTTAAAGTATTTACGATGACGCAAATTTGATTTTTTGCTTAATGTATTGATCTTAGGGAGACTACCGGTTTAGAAAGTGACTGGGCAACATGGATGAGGATTATTCAAGTGATGAAGGGCAAGCAGTAGCACCATCTTTGGTTGATCTGTGCATTAACACGGCAATAGACAATTTGAGGCGCCTTGGAGATGTTGGTGAAACCGATTCTCATCTGCTCAAGAGAATTCTACCACATTGTACAGTGGACCAGTTGATGCATGTAGAGAAGAGTACCAAAGTAAGTTGATCCACATTATTCTTATTTGAATGTTTTTGTGATCCTTTGGTACAAGTTGTGAAATATTTTTTAATTAATTCTTGTAGGGTAGAGATTTGACTCCAATTACCGATAAGTTGTGGAAGAAATTCTACGAAAAGGAGTTTGGTACTACAAGGGTGAATGAGGTGATTGAAAGGATGAAGCAAAAGAAAGTCGCGTTCAGATGGAGTCAATTGTATGAGGTGTGTTTCCTACTCTCCTCATGCTATCTGACCAAATTTGTTTTCTTTTAGTTTCCGTAGTCAAATCCCATTAGTTTAACGTATAGCGTAATTTTTGGTGCTTGATGCAGTATTTCTGGATCTGGTTTATTTTTGTTTCTTATAAGGCAAAAAGGATAAACAATTAATTGTGGGTGATTACATGCAGGCAAAATTGAAGGAAGTTGATATGGCTGAAAATTTAATAGGTGACAAGTTGAAGAGTCGATATCAAGAGGCAAATGCTCGTAAGTTTACCTCCTTAGCATGTTCTAGCAAACTGAGCAACAGCATACTCATTTCTACGTGATTAACCTTACTGACCATCCAAATTTTGTAGGAAAACAAAGTCGGCAAGTTCAAATTTGCACAAAGGTTCCACCATCAAGCAATAAAAGAAGCTGGGGTAAAATTTTCTGTTCTCTTATAGACTATCTAAGACTAATACATTATTAAATGGGATGCACAACTACCCGTTGTATTTCTGATAATTCTTTGTAGGCAATGGGCCTGGCTACAATGTTAGTGGAAAGAGCAACTTGATGAAGAAAGCGAAACTCGATTTTCTGAAAAGGTAATGATGTATTTTAGAATGATGCCTGGTATGGCGTGTCGGATGCACCTTGGTCTTGTGAACTGACATTATCCCCTCAAGTTTTCCTTTTACTTTGTTGTTCCAATTTTCTTATATCATATTAAGCGGATCATTAAGTGGTTTGATACTTATCTCGGAGCCTTTGTTCAAAAATGTTGGGTTCTTGATTAGTCTTGTCAAGATAGACTTTCGAGATATTAACATCTTTCTCCCCCTCCCTTTCTTTTGAGCAGTAATGAGGTGAAAAATCTTGCAGCTATGAAGAGAAATGCACTCCAGAAGAGTTACAGGTAAACTTTTGGATAAATTGTATGTTCTCTTCCTGTAGTTAACAAAACTATGTATAGACTCGCTTCCCGCCCTTATCATATATCTACCTCGTATATACAGTGCTCCTCCCATGAAGAGGCCAGCTGCGTTTTCTGGGAATGCTTCAGCTTCAAGTTCTAAACAAATCAAGCCCCCAAAGCGCCTCCCTTTCTGAATATTGCCCTGTGAGGACAAGGGCGTCAGATGGAATGCTCGGTTGAGTCCTGCAACTCATTGTCCCCTGAAGCGTGACACGATTTCTAAGAATCCATGGTGGGTTCAATCTCCTTAGCCTTGGGCGTTTCAGTTGTCGTCATTTCAATTGTATCAATCAATAAGAGTCATTTTTGTTTTTCATTTCTTCGATTTTCTTTCGATCATCATCCATTGTAGTAATATTTCACATCAGTGATACCCGATAATGTTATTGCGCCTTCATTTTCCCTTGAAGATGTGTATTTTACTTCTATTCGTTTCATCTCCAACTCTCATATCGGTAGTGTGGAGCCAAAAATAATCACAATGCGACACGTGGATTTTTGGACAAAATATGACAAAAATACTCTTGAGGTACAACAGGATTCCTACGCACGAGCAATGGGCGATCATCCTTCAACCAAATCAAAAGTGCCCAAAATAGGTAACAAATTCAAAGTTATTTCATCCATCCTCATCCTATATTTTCCACAAGCTAATTATTTCATAACCTTCAAAACATCCCATATAAATTACATAACCCCCAAAATATTTATTCCAAAAATGTGTTGATTAACCAATTAATGGATTAATTGCCAAATTAATCCATTAAATCACACATTAAACCATAAGTTACACCCTATTCCTATAAATAGGCTCCTATTTTCACCAAAAGATGATTCCAACACACCTGCAAAATTCTCAATACTCTCCAAACATTTTTCTCTCTAAATTCTAACTTTGGCATCGGAGGTTCTTCAGCCAAAGCCTCCCCCCCCCACCCCTACCATTTATCGTGGGCGCGTGAGGCTCTTGGCCTTGACTCTAAGGTGTTAATTGTTTTGTAGGTGCAATTTTGTCCAAGATCAAGGAGGAAGAAATTTGCATCTACAAATTGGTGCTTTCATTGAGAGTTGAGATCCATACTCATAGAAGACTCGCATAAAAAGGTTTTTCTCTATTTTCTAGTCCTTTTGAATATTTCTCATACGTTCTTATTATTAGAATTTTTTATTTTCAAAGGTTCTTTGATAAAATGTATAAGAAAAATATAATGGCTAGAAATTTAGAAAATTCCACAAGTGAAAATTCTAATAGTCAAGAAATGGGACCGCGGCGATCCACGAGGCTAAATGTGGTCATAGGCGGAGTGGTACCACCACTACGAGGTTCCACCATGGCCTAAGCTGTGTCATCCAAGCTTGCACGGGCCCGAGCCCAAGCCTCGTATTCACATGCATCACGCACTGAGTAGCCTGTTCCCGCCGAGCAGCCCATTCATGTGGCCTAGTCTGTTCCCACCGAGCAACCTGCTCTCGTAGCTCAGCCTGCTCCCGCCGAGTAACCTGCTATTGTGGCCTAGCCTGCTCCCGATGAGCAACCCACTCCCGTGGCCCAACCTGTTCCCGCCGAGCAGCATGCTCTTGTGGCCCAGCCTTCTCCCGACGAGCAACCCACTCCCGCGGCCCAGCCTGCTCTCGTGGCCCAGTCTGCTCCTGCAGCCCAGTCTGCTCCTGTGGCTTTCCAAGCAGCCCAAGTCGGCCCAAAACTATCTCAACCATCCGAACCTACCATCGAGCCGGGGGCATTCTCACCAAATTTTTCCGTGGATTTGACATTTTCCAACTCAAATCTCGCACCCAGAGTCTACCACCCTTCCACTACCCAATAAGGCACATTCCTTTCAAACTCTTCCAATCCAAGTGGCGAACAACACTTGTCTTGACAAGTCATAGAGTTAACGAGCGCCCTTGCACAGCAGACGACCTTGGTGAACCAGCTCTTGCAGTGCACTGAGATGCAACGTGTCCTAGACGAGGTGTCCCAAAGTAGGACAATGGAAGACAAAGAACCTCTCCAGCAACGTCCCGGTAAGCAGCCACTCGACCAGCCACGAACCGAGCATACCTCTCTAGCAACGTCCCGGCAAGCAGCCATTCGACCAGTCACGAACCAAGCGTTCAGACAGTGCACACTCCCGATTGGGCACCTGAGATAGTGTATACTCCCGTCTTAGAGCGCGGATGAGTGTGCACTCTCGACTAGGCCCACAGACGAGCATACATTCGCGGTCGGGGTCACTCTGATAGTCAACATGAGTAACCTTCAAAGCGAAGTGTTCATTCACGGCTAAGCCCGCAAGGAGCATCATCCACCTCACATCGGAGTAGGCAGCACGATGGACAGAGAGAAGCAGTCACTCAATACGGCTCAAGTTCAACCGGCTGCCTGCGAAGAATTCGCTCACCTGCTAGGAACGCGCTACACGCACTACATCCGCAGCATAGATGAGCCAAACACATGGAAGAGCAGCGTAGACTAACAAGTCACGGTTGGGGGTAGCCAAAAGCTTCACTACCTCAATAAAGGCAAATTCAAGAAAAAGTAGAGAGACTCTTGACCAAGCGATTGCGTAATTTCCAACACAACGAGATTACCAACGAGGCATTACGACGGAACATGACCAACATAAACAGGTCACCCTTCACGGACGAGATCGAACAGGCAGAGCCTCCGCGCGAGTTCAGCATGCCACATTTCACATCTTTCAAAGATGATGAAGACCCGAAGAGACACTTAAAGCACTACCGAAACGCAATGATCCTCTATCGAAACAACGATGAGCTCATGTGCAAGATATTTGCCACCACTCTACAAGGCGAGGCGCAAGATTGATTTTACACCCTGCTGCCATAATCCATTCGGAATTTCGACGAACTTTCTTTGGTTTTCACCAAAGAATATTCATCCTATCACTCGATAAAAAACAAGTCCGACCATTTGTTCGACGTCAAGAAAAACCCAAAGGAGTCATTTTGCGACTATGTGAGGAGGTTCAAAGCAAAGAAGGCAAAGATAGTCAGATGCAACGACTCGATAGCTAGAGCAGCATTCCAAAAAGGACTTCCAGCAGACCACCCGCTATTCGGAAAATTGATCATGAAAGAAGATCTAACTCTGGCAGAGAAGCATGCACTTTGGGATGAGGCTCGCCAATGCACATTCAAAGACTTGAACAAGTACCCGACATCACCTCCCTACTATCCAAACCAGAAGCAGCGGATGACTCATTCGCTTGTTTGATGATATCTGAAGTAGCAATAAGCTTTACTATCATACGAGAAGAGATGGGGGCCCAACTACCTGTATTCCACAGTTTAAAAGCTCTCCTAGATGCTATCAGTTTCATCCTCATGACGTATTATTCCGCCCAATCCAGATGCGTGACGATAAAGGCGTAGACCTTGGCGGATGCAAAGTTTTCTGACGAATGCAACAACTCGGCCCAAAAGACACGCCAAAGGTAGATGAAAGGACACACTCGGAAGCAAGTTTTATCCTCGTCACTCTAAAAGATTCTACATTGGAGCAATATGTACCGGCAGTTGAGTACCACCTCCTGCTGCGCACCACACAGCCCTAGGCAACCTTTGCTCAATGATTCAACTTTAGAGTGGCCCAATACCGGCAGTTAAGCATCTCCTACTGCGTGTGACATGGCCCAAACTCCACGGCTCCTTACCACGCATTTATGACGCAACAGGGCGGCCCAACGACGTCCCGGAAGTAGCCGAGCACACTTTAGCGGCGCCTGCTCCACCTGATGAAGACTTCTGGCATTTGCATGTTGATGGCACATCCAACTACAAAGGTTCAAGAGCAGACGTGGTCCTTGTCACCTTAGGCGGTTTGATGCCCGAGCAGGCGATCATTCTAGGTTTCAAAGCATTTAACAACGAAACAGAGTATGAAGCCCAACTAGCAGGCATTCGAATGACAAAAGACTTGGCGGTGAAAAAGCTTTCAATTCATTCCGATTCCCAGCTAATCACCAGCCAGACTACTAGGGGTAAAGGCATGATGATCGTGGAAATCAACTACTTCACCAAATAGGTAGAAGCAGAGCCTATGACAACCACGATTCAGACAGACAAAAAGCGCTTCATATGGAGGAACATTATTTGCCGATTTGGCATCCCTTAATCCATCGTCACCGACAATGGCCCGTAATTCGTGGGCAAAAATTTGTCAAAGTTCTTCGCAACATATGGTATCAAGCAGCACATGTCTACACCAAGATATTCTCAAGGCAATAGGCAGGCCAAAGCATCCACCAAGATGATCCTCGACTGCCACAAGAAATCCCCCACCAGCAAGAAAAGAAAATGGCCACACGAACTCCCTGGATGTCTATGGGTATATCGCACCACCAAAAGAAGAGCAACCGGTGAGATTCCTTTCTATTTGGCATTTGGCTTAGAAGCAATCATTTATCCCAATGTCATCAAGCCAAGTATCACCATTTTACTACTAAGCATTGAGCAGAAAAGAGATGGCCACAAGCTTAGATCAGGCAGAGGAGAAGTGCGAACAGATTATCACCCGCATCACAGCCTACCAACAGCAGTTCCTCTCCAGCTACAACAAAAGGGCCAAGATCCGGTAGTTCCAACCTGAAGATCTAGTCCTAAGAAAAGCCTTTATCACTGCCCGCAGAGAAGGCTCTAAAAATATGGATCTCATCTAAGAAGGTCCGTACAAGATCAACAGAGTAGGCGGCAAGAGTAATTACACATTTGCCACCATGAAACGATAAAAAGATCGAAAAGCAGTGGAGCGCCTACAATCTGAAGAAATACCATGTGTGACATCTCGCTACATCAAAGCTCGAAGACTCAAGAAGCTTGACGGGCACCACCTCACAAGCCGAGAACTATCCAGTTGTTATGCAGTTCCTACCTTACAACTAAGTTCTCGTTAGTTTCACTCATTTTTCAATGAGGAATTCAAAAGTAATCACAACTTGGCTCGGCTGCATGTTTACAACAACTAATCACTCCTGCACTTCAAAAGAAGACTGCGCCCTTCTTATGGACTTATCGCAGGAATTGCATCCCCTGAGGGACCAACCATGCTCTCCAGTGCGAAAGGGTAAACTAATTGCTCTCCAGTGTAAAAGGGTAAACCAATTCCCCAACACCCATATGGGTCAGCTCTCCAAGACGAGAGGATAAACTTTACACTCCGAATATCCAGACGTGGATGAGCCTGGCTGCCCTAGTATAACTAGATGCACGATGGCTTGCGCCAGGATTCCTAAAAGTAGCCACAATGGTATTTTTCAAGGTTTAGCTAACTAAAGGATTTTGGGTCTCTTGGCCTAATCCATCGGGAACCGGGCCCTAGAGATGGAGGGGGCACATTATGCAGTACGCCCTACAGACGGCTACCCTGGAACCCTAAAGTTGATACCG